AAAGCCACAGGAAAATACCCAGCAATTCTTAAAGTTCATAATAGCCCAAGGAATTCAAAGCTCTTTCACTGGAAGCTTAGAAAGCACACAGATTTAAAAGTCCACTTATAATCATTTTAGTTGGTAATAAGCATTTACTGAATATCTGCTGTTGTTATCACCCTCAGATAACATCTGTATGCACTAGGTTTATGAAATGTCATTTCTTTCTACCTGGTGTAGAAACTTGGGTCCTCATCTTGCTCGCCTGCTGAGATTCCATGGTTATTCATTTTGTGTCTTTTATTCAAAATGAAAACATATATCAGTGTGTAACTAATTCAGTGACAAAATTATGCAACGAACTTGGATTCCCATGTATTAGGCCCTGTAAAGGAAATGCATGTTTAAAACTACAAACACACATTTTTACACATTATATATACATACATTTTTCAAGGATCAAAAATTGGTGGTGGGGGCGCTGAAGAGATGGCTTGGTGGTTAAGAGCACTGACTGCTCTTGCAGAGGACTTGGGTTTGATTCCCAGAACCCACATGTTGGCTAACAACTGTCCTTAACTCCAGTTCCAGGGAAATTCGTACTTAAACCCACACAAACAATACACTCATATATATTAAATAAATAAATAAATGAATAAATAAATAATAAAATTTAAAAATTAAAATTATTTGTATGTTTCAGATACAAAAAAGCACAAAAACTAAAAATATAAAAATACTCATGTACCATGTTTACTGCAGTTGCTAATTTGTCATATTTGCTTCATATTTTTCCTGTATGTAACCCAGGATGACCTTGAATTCTTGGTCCGCCTTCTTCTGTGCTGGTCTTAGAGGTATGTGCCACAGTTGCTGACTTTTTTAAAGAAAGCATTCATGATACAACCATTGCCCCCTTCCTCTACTCCATCCTCTCTTGAGAGTTAACCTCTATTTTTTTTTTTTTTTTTTTGAAACAGGGTCTCCTTGTAGCCCCAGCTGGCCTAGAACTCATGTAGACAAGGCTGGCGTCAAACTTACAGAGATCCATCTGCCTCTGCTTCCCGAATGCTGGGATTAAAGTTGTGTGCCAAACTTCTATCTTATCCTACTTACCCAGATTTTTTACAATTTATGTGTTTTGTGTTTTTCAATTTTACATAGGGATATTTATACTTCACAGATGTGTTTGTGAATTGCTTTTTCACTAAGCATTAAGAGCTATCTATATTGATACAAGGAGGGTAGGCTATTTCTTTGAACTATTGTTTAAATTACATTACTGTAATGTACCACTGTTCTGTTCCTGTAGCCACATCCCATTTGAGGGGTGTGGTGGTTAATCTTGGTTGGTAATTTGATTAGATTAAGAAGTGTCTAGGAGATAAGTAAGGTACTCTTCTGCATGTGTCTATGAAGGTGTTTCCAGAGAGGATTAACTAAGAAAATAAGAACCTGTGTTGAATGTGCAGGGCATCGTTCTACAGGCTGGGGGCTCTAATGGACTAAAAGGGGCAAAGGAGAAAGTAAGCCAATACAGGCATACTGCTTTCTGCTTCTTAGTGGCCACATTGTAAGCAGCTCTGCTTCATCATGTCCTCCTGCTAGGAATGACTAGAATCTCTGAATTCCTGAGTCAAAAATCAATCTTTTCTCCTTCACCTCCCCGTTGATGCTAGAGATTTTTGTCACAGTGATAAAGAACAAATACAGTTATTATCCAGCTTGTTTGCAATATTTGGCTCTGGTTGTTGCATGAATTACGCCTCAGATTCAAGGAGTTCCAATTTCAAAATAATGTATCTTATCTGGCCATTTCTCCATACTCTACAACCTTGGTAATTTTCTCCTCTAGGAACAGGATCCTATAAATCCCCAGCTTTCACATCCTCCCAACTCTTCTTCAATGTACAGTTTGCACCACCCACAGGGTCAGATCGTACCTTCACCCAGCCTGTCAAATCCTTAGTGTCTCCCCATTATGCCTAGAATAAATCCAAAGATCTTCCATAGCTATAAAGCCTCAGACATCTAGTTTCTCTTTCTCTTTTCCTAACTCTCAGAAGTGAGTCTCCTTGGAGCCAGAAATCACTCTCCTGAAACCAGCACTTTCCTCTTCTTCCTGTGGCTCTCTCTGACTGCTCAGATTCCTGATCAGGTATCATCAAACTCACAGAATCCTTTCTGGTTTCCTTTATTTAAATTAGTTGTCTATGGGCTGGAGAGATGGCTCAGCAGTTAAGAACACTGGTTGTTCTTGCAGAAGACCCGGGTTCGAATCCCAGCACCCACATGGCAGCTAACAACTGTCCATAACTCCAGTTCCATGGGATCCAACAGTCTCTTCTGTCCTCCGCAGGCATTGCATGAAATGGGTGCACTTACCTACATGCAGGCAATATACGCATGCACATAAGATTAAAAAGTAAATAAATACCTCATTTGTGTTTCTTTAGAGAACTCTCTGTTTAATTCCTCAACCCAATTTTTAATTTTTTTTTTATTTTTTGTCTTTTTAAGACAGGGTCTCCCTATAGCCCCAGCTGGCCGGGTAAATAAATAAAATAAATTAGTTGTCTAGCTTATGCATATGAATGCCTTCTTCATTTATCTTCATATCTTCTATTTTTGGCCTTGCTTTTATTTTTCTTCTCAGGAGTTATTACACCTGAAATACTCTTGTGTACTTCTGTTCTTCCAGCAGAATATAAACTCTCTGGACTCTGGATGCTTAGTACTCAGAATAATACCTGGTTTACTAGTCCTTCAACAATCCTTGCACATTCTTGGGGGCAAGTCCTTGAAAGTCCTTGATGATGAAGCCCTGTGGGAGATGTTTTCTTTTTTCTTAAAATTTTATGTGACTATTTTGCCTGCATGTAAGTACATCACATGCATGCAGTGCCCACAGAGGCCAGAAGAGGGCATTGGATCTCCTGGAACTGTAGCTACAGAAGGTTGTTAGCTGCCATATGCATGCTGGGAACAGAACCTGGGTTTTCTGCAAGAGCAGGCAGTGCTCTGAACTGCAGAGCCATCTCTCCAGCCCTGGAAGATGTGTTTTTTGAGATTTTATTTTTAATGATGTGTCTGTGTGTGTGTCAGTATGTGGGTACATGCATGTGAGTACAGTGCCTGCCAAGGCCAAAAGGGTGTCAAATCTCTGGGAACTAGAGTTGTGAGCTGCCTTACATGTGTGCTGGGAACCAAACTCAGTTCTCTTGTCTGTTGAGCCGGTTCCAGCCCCAGATGATCTTGTTCTTTTCAATCACAATAAAATAAAATTACTAAGTTAATGCATAAACACAAGCACACACTTAACCGAGATAGAAGAAAATATGCTAGTTAAAGCCCAATGAATTGATTTCACAATCCATCAACAGGCTTGAATTTGCAATATGGAAAACTGCTCTAGTGTGTTTATCTTGAAGTGGTTTGCTGGGTTTTACTATATGTTAGTGAATTGTTCTCTAACGTGTAAAATGTACACTACTAGCATTATTGTATCAATTGCTCCTATTCTTATTACCTAACACTTGTTCCCTGCAGTAATCAGATGCAGGAAAAGATTTATCAATCTTTTTAAAAAAGAAGGTGGCCAGAGATCTTATTCTTAAAAAAATCATGTAAACCAAATTAATTTTTCATGTCCTAGAGGACTAAAAATGTTCTTATCAGAACTTTTCGTAGGTCAAGTGACTTAATGTTGCCTACTTTTTGAGACTGGCAATTACCAATATTCACATTCGGTTTTACTCGCTCAAAACCGTATTCCTCCTAAGGACATTGCACTAATGATAATTTTAGTTCATCACTTATTCAGTTTATTCACTCAAATGATTATTGAGGATCTTGTCGCTAACAGGAATTTTGCCAAACAAACCTAGCAGCTGCTTCTTCGGCCTCCTAACCTTAGAGTTCTTTGTCTCTTGCACAGAAGCAGGGTGGCCATTGGGCAGTAGTGTTTCAGAAAAGCTCCCTCCAATCCACTGTCTTCACACATTATTTACACAGAAGTTTTTATAATCAAGATCCCGAGAGAACTATGTGTCGGCGCATGCTCTCCTCATAGCCAAGGACTTGAGAAAAGTTTTGAAATAAGGGGGCAGTGTGACTGCTTTCACGTCAAGCATTTGTTTTAAATCTAAGATTATAATAAAGGTCTTTTAAAGCAATACAGTTCCTTAGTTTTTTTTCTTTTCTTTTTTCTTTTCTTGTTGTTAGCAAGCTTTTTGCTCTTTACAAAAAAGGAAAAAAATAGACCCGCACTTATTTCGTTATTCCATTGTCATGTCGGCTTAGATGAAAAGTATCTCTACTTTCTAATTAAGGAAATTCCAAATTTTGCTTGGAGAAAAAAACAGTCGTACTAACTCCCGTTAGTATTTTCGGCACCTTCTATCTCCGACTGATAATCTCTAAAGACCCTCCAGGTAAGTCTTCACTGAACTGCAGTGGCTGCTTGCTACTTTAAAACCCATGGTCTAAAGAGTCGAATTCCTGTGACTTCTGGACGCATCGGGGCTTATTCATCTTTATTACCCCAGATAATAACGTGATGGCCAGATAAGAGGTGCTACGCCCAGGGTAAATGGACTAATTGTGGATGGTGTGTGTGCAGGATTTTTTTTGGCACTTATCCATTTTGGGGAGACTGTAAATCGCAGCCGCAAGAAAGTGACGGGGCGGCTCTCCCTCCAGGCCCGGGAACTCATGCAAATCAGCGGGCCAGCCGGGGGACCACGCCGGCCACTTTCGCGCCACTCGCCCAGGACTGCGCAGCTTCATAAATAGCAGGCTGCGCCAAGTCCCCAGAGCGCCACTGTTCTAAGGTCAATTTAGTATCGTTCAAGGAGATCATACAGGCTGAGATTATAGAGACCGCTGCATTCTTCCCAGAACTCCGGCGCTTCAGGCGCGCGCTTTTGTTGCAGTTATTTCAGCTTGCAGGACCTGCGTCCCGGCGCGGGAAAACCGGCGGGCCCCGCCCCCCCGGGTCGCGGTGTGCGCGCCCCACTCGCTGCCCCACTATCCCGCCGCTCCTGCTCCGAGTGCGCGCGGAGCTCCGCTGCTTAGCTCTGCCGGCTCCGAGTGCCTGAGCGCCCGCAGCCAGCATGGAGGCTCGCCGCGCGCGGGTGAGGGCCGGCCGGGAGCACCCGAGGGGCGGGCGCGGTGGGTGCCGGACGCGGGCGGGCCGGGGCCAACTCCTTCTGACTCCGCAGCCCGGCGCTGCTTATTCACCCGGGCTGGTCCTGGGCGTCGTTCAGCTGGGGAAATGGCAGATTTGTTCTTTCTTCTTTTTGCACACGGGAGATAACTCAGGATCCCGGGGTTGCTCCGGCCAGCTTGCGAGCGTTACAAGTGAGCTCGTTGCATGATGTTTGGCAGCGATGGGGAAACCCGAGGCATGTGCGTCCGAGGTGCACGTGGGAGCCTGAGGCGCGGGGCTGGACCTCGCCCTGTGCACAGCCGTATCCCGCACACGCCTCGGGGTAGGCGCGTGACTTCCACCCGCGCGCACTGGGTGTCCCTGGGACGCGCCCCCTGGCCGCCTCTGTCCCGGGCAGCTTCTGCGGCTGAAGCCACCTGGGTCTGCGGGTTTGGAGTTTCAGGTCTAACCAGCGCATCTCTTAGAACTTTGCTTGTGTGCCCTGGGGGGAAGGCATTGTTTTAGTTGCTTGCAGTGTTAAAGGCAGCAAAGGGGCCTAGGGATGCAACCCATTCGCTTGGACCGGTTAGTCGGTCCCCACTCCCTCTCTCCTACCATCCTAGCCTCATCCACTGCTTTGAGTTGCCCCGAATGGAACGTTAGTTTTTGCTTTTAACGGAAGCCATAACTTAGGTCCTGCCCGGGTGAGGGCAGAAGGGGGTTGAGGGGGATGGGTGGAAAGGAAGTATCAGAGATTCGGGACCCACGTGGGTGGGCCGGAGGGGCGTGGTTTCGGAGCCTGGTCTCCGCCCAGGAGGAATTTAGCTTTAAATTCTTGGAAGGAAGGCATGTGTTAGCTTGGCTTGGAATCTGGCACGCCTGGGTTCAAATTTGGGCCATCATGTGACTTGAATAATCGGTTTCCTCCCACCAAGCTTCAGTTTTCCTCATTTAAAAGAGGTTAATGACAGCACTTCTGCTGCAAAAGAATTAAGCTAGCTTAATGTCTGCCACAGAGACCTGCCATAAATGGAATTAGTTATGCCTACTAAGAAAGTTCATTCCAGGCGTGACCATTGCTTTGTTTTCTATACCTTTTGCTCCAAAGGTGTATTTGCCTGGTAAATGACTTTGGGTCTGCCCTGGCATGTTAAAACCTGTTGCCCTGGACAGCTTCCTGCAGAATGCCCTCCCTTCCTTCAGGCTGTCTTGGAGGTCGTTTAATGAATACGGGTAGGGGGAATTCTTGAAGTCATTTAAGGAGCTGTGCTGTCATTTCATCTGGAGGGCGTGAATTTCCTTATCTGGAAAATGGGTGTTTCCAAGATCTCTTTCAGCTTGTAGCATTTATTATAAATACACGCAACATTTATGTTTTGTAATTCCACTTGTTATTGTGGTTTCCTCCCTTTAGGATAGGGGAGACTTCCCAAGATGATTGAAGGGTGTATACTAGGCACGTGAGCAGGTTGGGTTGCAATCATCTTGGAAATAATGTTGTTGAATGGAAGAGGCTGAAATGAAGTGTTAGATGAAGAAAGTCCAGAATGTTCTGTCCTTCTAACACCCAGCATATAGGTATTCTTGTAAGACTAGAAGAACTTCTTTTAGGTTTTCAGTATGGACATATTGCTCTTACTTGGCTCTGTTTAAGAGAATAAAAGTATAAGAACTAGTTGCAATCCTTAGGAAATCCTGTTAAATGCTAAGAGATGGCAGAAACATCTATCCTTTGTATACAAGGTCCCAGTTGCACTTTCTGGTAAACGGTGCAGGACTGTCTGCTCAGAAAGAATGGAGCATTTTCATATGTCTAAGTAATTTGACCTTATGAAAAGCCTTTTTAAAAATGTGCCTTCCCCACCACATGCTGGGGATCAACCCCAGGTCCTCAAATGTTAGGCAAATACTCTGCCACTGAACTACAATCCCAGCCCTAAAAAAATTCTAATCTTAAGTAAGGGACCGTTAGAAAGAGCTGAATGAAGGCCAGGGTAATAGAGTGCTAAAATGGAATCAGTATTCCACCTGGGTTTGGAGTGCTAGTTGACCTTTAACTTGGCTTCTTGTACTGTGAGTTTACCAAGTTGATAATACTTGATTTGTAAGGACTTGTGCAAAATCTCTACTCCTCCTGATTGGAACAGGGCCTGTTTGGAAGGCTGCCATCTTAAAGCAGAGGTCCTGCCCAATTTTTGTAGTTTGGGAAATTAGCATCACAGTACAGAAGCCCAAAGCTTATATAAAAAGACCTCATTAGCTTGATTTTGGCTGAGGGAGAAAAAATTGCTCTGCCATTTTGTACTTTTGAAATTTCCTTTTGGAAGTACAGTTCAATTAGAAAAAATGAGGTTGGATTTTAGGAGTTAGTGTTAAACTCCTATGGAGCTCACTGTAATGCTAAGAGAGTTCAGGGGTTGTTGAGGTAGAAGAGAAGTGTCTCCAGATGCTTGAATAAATTGATAAATACCATTAAAACCTCTCCAAAAGGATTCTTTCTTAGAATTGACCTGGGTTTGAATTTTTTTTTGTAGCAATTGCCAATCTCTTTTTTTTCTCTGTAGGGTGTGAAAAAAATGTGTCCATCTACTCTGCTGTTTAAGCCTACTAAACTAAGAAATGATGTCTTTAGTTACATACTGCAGGAAGTGGCCCACTTAATAGTGTTGCCATTTCTATTTGCAGCAAAAGGATCTCAGAGTAAAGAACTTAAAGAATTTCAGATATATGAAGTTGATTTCCATGGAAACCTCGTCATCCTCTGATGACAGTTGTGACAGCTTTGCCTCTGATAATTTTGCAAACACGGTAAGTGCTGCCTGAGAATAAACAGAATTGAGTCTGCAGTGCTCAAAATGCCCCAAATGCTTTGTACATGATTAAAACTGCTTGCTTTTGCCTGCATTTCTATACAGCCATTCGAAAAATACAGTATGCACTGTAATTTCATTTCCCTCTTTGCTGTGGTTCTAGGTAGTAATTGTTGGAGGTAGATTAGCTACTTATTCTGTCCTTTTGAAATGTCGCCTAACCTAACATGCCTCATGATTTGCCATAACAACTCAGAAGTCATTTGTAAACCTCTGAACCGTTTTTCTTTGTAACAAAAGCTATTCTCTTGTAGTGCACTTGTAAATGTGATTTGCTCTCTGCACGGTTTATGGAAAATTGGTTCTTGAAAAAAAAAAAATCCACAACCACATTTATTTATTTATTTTACAGAAACCTAAATTCAGGTCAGATATCAGTGAAGAACTCGCAAATGTTTTTTATGAGGACTCTGATAATGAATCTTTCTGCGGCTTTTCAGAAAGTGAGGTGCAAGATGTATTAAACCATTGTGGATTTTTACAGAAACCAAGGCCAGATGTCACTAATGAACTGGCCAGTATTTTTCATGCTGACTCTGACGATGAATCATTTTGCGGTTTCTCAGAGAGTGAGATACAAGATGAAATGGTGAGTTTGAGAATTTCACCAGTATCAAGAAGTGAAGTCCATTTGGAGGCAGGAGAGATTTGCTTTTTGAAATCTCCCTTTTTTATGCTCCCCTAATGCATTTCCTTGTAGTCCAGCCAAGAGACCTTACTGATCTTTCTAAGATTATGACTATTTTCTTTTTGTCATTAAGCACTTTTTGCCAATGTCCTCCTTGTAGGTCTTAGGTTTTTAGGTTCTGGAAAATCTTGGAAACTTGGTAAATACACTTGTCCACCCTCCAGATTTCCATTACTCCAGATCCAGGCAAATCAAAGGGAGCACATGTGTCCTAAAGATTAGGTACACTGGCATTTCTGTGCAGGTGCTCAGCTCAGTCCTGACATGGAGCAGTCTGGCAAGGCTGGGCTCCATAGTTCTAACTGTGCCTACATCTTGAGACCCTTGGAGGGCTGTGTGCATGAGCAGGGCTGTTGCTTCTGTGTTTGCTTGCTGCCTGTTCTGCTTTTCCTGGGCATGCTCCCTCACCTCTCAGCTCTGTCACCTCTGTTCAGGCTGCTGTTGTGCCTATGCCCCACTCCCTGACCAGACTGCCTTCTGCAGTGTCTCATCCTAAGATTTGCTCCTGAGGAAGTGGTGTGTTCATTACAATCACATGTATGCTCTTCACCTCACATGCCTGGCACCATTGTCTGTAGGCCACCACTTGAATGACACAGCTGTGAGCTTGCCCCAGGCTGTTTTAACACTATTTGTGCTAATACATGTTTCCTCTAACAGATGTTGGTCCAAATTGACACTGATTGGCATTTGTTAGCTGGGGCCAGTCTACAGATCTGGAAGTGACCCATTGTCAGTGGCTTGGCTATTCTAGGCAGTCTTTCAGTTCTTTGTAGGTATGACCTGTAATTAATAAAATGGCAGTTGGTTAAAAGAGTTAAGAATTCATGAAAGGTTTTTTTGTAGTTTTATGTTCTCTATCCATGAACACTAAAAGCTGTGCATGGGAATACTTACTTGCAGTGCTTGGTATCAAACCCAAGGTCTTGCATGTCCTAAACATACATATATATCTACCACTGAGCTACACCCCCAGCCTATCAAGAAAACTTTTAGAAGCCGGGTGTGGTGGTGCACGCCTGTAATCCCAGCACTTGGGAGGCAGGGGCAGGAGGATCTCTGAGTTCAAGACCAGCCTGGTATACATAGTGAGTTCCAGGCCAGTTGGGGCTGCAGGCAGAATTTGTCTCAAAAAGACGAAAAAAGGAAAAGAAAAGTTTTTAGGGGCTGCAGGGCTCAGCTTGCCCTGTGACCTTAAAGACCTGAGTTCATTCCCTAGAAACCTAGATTTTTAAATGACAAGTGGTGTGGTGGCCCGTCTGTAATTCCAACTTCGGAAGGCAGAGAGAGGATCTCCAGAGCGAGGATGATTCCTGATACTAACCCCAGGACTCCACACACAGGTGCATGTGTGTCCCCACATGTATACACACACAAGAAAAAAAGTGCATTCACACACACATGCACACTATACATATGAAAGAAAAAGAAATTACAATTTTTTTACATTTATTTGAGTGTGTGTCTGTGTTGGGGGAGATGGCACACGTGGAGGTCAAAGGACTGCTTGTGGGCATTGTTCTTTCCTTCTACCATGTGGGCTCCAGGATCAAACTCATGGTCAGACTTGCCCGCAAGTGCCGTTACATGCTGACCCATCTCTCTTGGCCATGTTTCTACTTTTTTAAACTATTATGAATAGTGCTGTCATGAACATTCATGTCCAGGTTCTTTGTGGACAGACACTCTTGGGTCTGTACCTAGGAGTGGAATGGCTGGGACTATAATGACCTTGTATTTAACCTTTTGGTTAACTGACAGCTTTTCAAAAGTAGGTGCATCATCGTGTTCCTACCAGAAGTGTTCTGAGGGTTCTAGTTTCTCCATTTTCTTGGTAACACTTGTTATTTTCTGTCTGATTTAGCTCCACTAGTGGTTTTGAAATGATATATTATCTTGGTCTTGATTTACACTTGGAATCTGGGAAGTTTTTTATTTTAAGCTTTAAAAAGTTAATTTGAGTGATACCTAGTCTAGCCAAATTCAGAGGCAGGAGGCTGGTTGCCAGGGGCTGGTGGTAGGAGGAGTTGGGAGATTTTGTTTTACTTATTTTTTTGCTTTCTTGCTTTTGAGATAGGGTCTTAAACAGTGTAGCTCACACTGGCCTAGAACTTGCTGAATAGCCCAGGCTAGCCTGGAACTATTGAGTGCTGGGCTTATAGGCATGGGCCACCAACAGGACTGACTATTGAAGTTTCAGTTAGGAAAGATGAGAACTTTGGGTGAAGGCAGCACAACAGTGTATTCAGCGCCATTCATCTACACAGTTAAAAGCAGTTAAAATGGCAATTATATGTATTTTTAATCACAATTTTTTAAAATGGCTGGGGGAATTGAGACAGTTTAAGATAGTCTTTTGATATCACCATATGTGTTGAGACCATGCTCATAGGTGAATATAGTTGTTCCTGTAGGAATTCTTTGATGATAAATGAAGACCATTTTTAAAGAAATGTTTCAGAAAGAGGCAGGGGGTTCCATATTTTAAAAAATGGTTCAGAAACACAGGTTTCTTGGCTCAGGCAATGTGTCCTAGTGAGGATGTACTCACATTGTATTCATTTGCAAGTTTTGATTTTGATTCCCATGGTCCTCGCTGTTCAGTTAAAATTGATTTGCTCGCATGTCTTTTATTCCAAAAGGATTTTGTAGTAGGCACTGGTGCAGCTTAATCCTTAATGGTTCCCTTGCTCTGGTTGACTTAGAGACTGCCAGTGGACCGGGAGGGCTGCAGAACCCGCAGCCAGTGCCGACACCCTGGACCTCTCAGGGTGGCCATGAAGTTTCCAGCACGAAGTACCAGGGGGACAGCCAACAAAAAAGCAGTCCCTTCACAGCCCTCCCAGACCTCTGCTACTGATTCCCATTCTGACTCTGAAGAGGAAGATGGCATGAACTTTCTAGAAAAGAGGGCTTTAAATATAAAGCAAAACAAAGCAATGGTAGGTGTTTGGATGTGTTAGAACCTTTCCTAACATTTCTCTAAGCAGCTTGTTACCTCTACCTGTGTCCTAAGAATTTTATTACATGTGGTTGTAAAGACTTGATATATGCTTTAAATTTTTTATTTTATTTTTCTGAGACAGTTCTCACTATGTATCTCAGGCTGATCTCAAACTCACTGGGATCCACTGCCCTCTGCCCTCTGAGTGTTGGGATTAAAGGCATGCATCACCATGCTCAGCCCTGAAGATTTAATTTTCTTTATATGTGGGGTGTGTGTGTGTGGGGGGGGTGTATACCACAAGTGTGTAGAAGCCAGAAAAGGGTGTTGGGTCCCCCAGAGCTGGAGTTGTGGCAGTTGTGAGAGCTGCCCAAAGTGGGTACTGGGAACCCAACTCTGGCGCTCCATAAGTACAGTACACACTTTTAATCACTGAGCACTCTCTCCAGCCTTTGAAATGTGTTTCTTGGGGCTGAGGGTGTAGCTCATTGGTAGAGTCCATGCTTATTAACACGTGTGAGGCCCTGGGACTGATCCCCAGCAATCCTCCCTCCTCAAAAAGGCCATTTTTTCCTAAACCAACTTTATTTTTTCTTTGTTTTGAGTTTCCTGTTGTTTGGTACTAGGGATTGGACCCAGAGCTTCAGTTTGTACCCTAGACTACTGAACTACATCGCCAGCTGCTTTTTCAAATCAAAGGGTAGGATAAGCATAGAGGAAAACTCATAATCTGACTCTGTCAACATACTAAATACAAAGTTATGAGATGGGCTAGCTTTATTTCCATAAGTTAGTCGCTCATTTTCTGCAGTTAAAACTTCTGTTTACTTTTACCCCTTTTTTAGCTTGCAAAACTTATGTCAGAATTGGGAACCTTCCCTGGAGCAAGACGTTCCCTTCTGGGCCGCAGATCTGAAAGGGTAAGTGTTTGTTTTGTAGAGTTGTTTGAGGCAAGCCTAGGGTAGATTTCTATGAGATCTTAGAATCTATTTCCTTATTTGTGTGGTCTTCTAGACACTCAAAGCAGCCTCCTGACTGCATCCTGAGCGCTTTGGTTTCTCCCTACCACCCCGTGGCCACATTCCTTTTGATTGTTCCTCTCCTTCCTAGCTAGACCAAGCTCAGCATCAGGGAAGACTGAAGACTTGTTTTTGTGTTCCCAATTGACAATTTTTTTGTACATGATAAATGCAAAATAGATGTTTCTAAAATCAAAATGAGGGAAGAGAAGGGAAACGCGATTTCTGTGTCAAGTCATGTCCTACGAATCATAGGCCATGTCCTTCATCTCAAGGGATGAAGCTGGTGCGATGGGAGAATTTGGTGTATCTGTTGTGGTAGAAGAGGAAAACCTGCTTTACTGGGAGGCAGGCTGGAAGCCAGCAGGGAAGGGAAGAAAGAAACCAAAAATATTCTTTTGTACCATATGGAGATAACATATATGTGCCAGGGATCGAGAGATACAGGAAAGGTTTTTGGAGTATAACAGCTCAGATTTTATATTTTCAGTAAGTGACAGGATCAATGGTAGAACTGAATATAGGAATAAATAAGAATTATAATGATCATATGGCTTTTGTTTATTGTCCACACATTATAAAAAGAACAAAGAAAATATGAAAATGGAGCTCTGCTTTTAATAACTCCTTAAGGAGAAGGTGAGTTCTCCAGAGTGCTGCTTCTCTTTGTTAGGGACTAAGTAGATCCATCTTGTGTATTTTGTTCTGCAGTCAAAGCCTAGAAGACGTACATTCCCAGGTGTGGCTTCCAGGAGGAACCCTGAACGGAGAGCCAGGCCTCTTACCAGGTCCAGGTCCCGTATCCTGGGGTCCTCGGGTGCTCTGCCCATGGAGGAGGAGGAGGAGGAGGAAGAGGAAGAGGAAGAAGATAAGTACATGCTGGTGAGAAAGAGGAAGTCTGTGGACAGCTACATGAATGTGAGTGTTCTTTGGTATCTGGTTTTCATCTTTTGGAGTCATAGCATCGTGAATGCATAGCCTCAGTGCCCAAAGATCCAACTTAAATACTTTTCCCAAACCATTCTGAATCATTAACATTACATAAACTGAGTTTAGGGAGCTGACAAGTCAGATTTTCAGCCTCCACACATTGCAGGAAGTTTTTCCATAATTTTAACCAGTTATCCTTACAAAGAGACTTGGCTTCTTTCCAAGAGGGGTTTCTCAGGTTGAATTTTCTTTGAAAGCAGTTTCCATAAAGACCCCGAGAAAACTCTTGCCTCATGCTTCTTGTCACATAGGATGATGACATGCCCAGAATTCGTCGTCATGGATCCATGACCCTTCCACATGTAATTCGCCCTGTGGAAGAAATCTCAGAGGAAGAGTTGGAGAACATCTGCAGCAACTCTCGAGAGAAGATCTATAACCGCTCACTGGTGAGAGCCCTGGGTTCTGTCTGGAAATGTAAAAATGGGGTGAGGGGCACAGATAGCATCTATCCCTGAGTGCTGAGCAGTGTGAGGTCTGGACACATGAGCCTGCAAGAAGAGTTTTACAGTGTGCCTGGGATTGAATTATCTGCCTAGGAAGTCTGCAGTAGTGTTAAATCTTTTCTTAATTTATAAATTGATTAATTCAACATGGATTTACTGTGGATCATTATGTGTGCGTGCATAGATAGCTGCTGGGAATACAGTGGTAGGCTAAAGATAAAAATGGATTTGGAAAAGGGAAAACAAATGGATTGGGGCAGGATTTTCTTTTTCCCATGCTGGGGTTCAAACTCAGGATCTCAGGTATGCCAGGCAAGGATTCTATAACTAAGGCTGAGCCCCCGCCTCCCAAATAGTTTTGATGGTATTAACTGGTGCACCTGCCAACTGAATGAAAGTGCTTTGCTTGAGATGTTTTTCAGACCTGCATATATGTGTGAGAAATAAGCTTCAGAGACCAACTGTCAGATCCTTTACTACTCAGGATGTTCTTTATGCCATTAGAGAAAGATAGCAAAAAGCAGTACTTGCTTGATTTTTACTTTTTCGGTCTTTACTTTAGGGCTCGACTTGTCATCAGTGCCGCCAGAAAACTATTGACACCAAAACAAACTGCAGAAACCCAGAGTGCTGGGGCATTCGGGGCCAGTTTTGCGGTCCCTGCCTTCGAAACCGTTATGGCGAAGAGGTTAAAGATGCTTTGCTGGACCCAGTAGGTGCCTTGGAGGGTGGGCTTGGTCCTGGGGCCTTGATGGCTGGGGGATGAGCTTGAGCCCTTGGCATTGGGAAATGCTCTTTCAGGGTAGACACATCAGCCTATAGTGTTTTTGTGTTGCTGGGGCTGGAACCCAGGGCCTTGCATACCCAGGGTATTAGAGCTGGGCAAGTGCTCTAATACCTCAGTGGTTAACCCACTGATGGATTAATGCTAATACCTTAAAGGCTAAGAGAGGATAAGCAAGTAGAGAGAAAGTGAGGTTTAGCTTCAAGGTTCTTCTTCACAATTCTTCAGAACTGGCATTGCCCTCCTTGTCGAGGAATCTGCAACTGCAGCTTCTGCCGCCAGCGAGATGGACGGTGTGCGACTGGGGTCCTTGTGTATTTAGCCAAATACCATGGCTTTGGAAACGTGCATGCTTACTTGAAAAGGTAATGGCTGCTATTTTCTCTTCCACATCTATGAATCTTAGATTCATTTATATGTCTTAATAAACCTAATAAGCGATGATAGAAGTTCACATGTCTAAGACACATGCATTGACCATATGACTCAATCAAGAAATGAATTTAGCTTTTCAAAGGGAATTCTTTATTGAAAACTCTTGCCTTAATGCACGTGGTGCACTTACATACATGCAGGCAAACACTAATACACATAAAATAAAAATAACTAAATTAAAAGGGAAAACCTCTATCTTGTGTTGTTCCCCTTTTCTCTTTCACAGTCTGAAGCAGGAATTTGAAATGCAAGCATAGTACCTGGAGTTGCGCTGCCTACCTCCCGCTTCCCAAGTCTGTCTTGCTAAAGTTCTTGATGATGTCCTTGATTGAAACCAGAGGAAGAATCTTGGTGGTCATTCTGTCTTAGAAAACTTAAATCAGGTTAATCTTGGTAGATTTGTACTTGTTTCTGGTACATCGTGGAAGGGATACTGCTGGCTATACGTTTATCTACATGTAGTTTCTCAAAGCTGTGCTTGTCCTGGCCCTACCTTGTAGCATCCTTGCCACTTAGTTTCTGAATTCTTTTTAAAGTGACAGTTTTATAAAAGCATATTTGGTTTAATTGGTGTTGAACAAGTCCCTGAACACACCCATAAAACCCAAGCACTTAGAGGTACAGGAGTGTTAACTAACTGTTCTATTGAGTTCCAGAGAATAGCCCTTTCACTTGTTTATACAAAAACCTGGATACAGTTGTGTTCATATTAGTTGACATTTTAAGTGGAAAAAAAAGGCACAAAAGTCTTTAAACCATGTGGAAAAAATAGGCAATTGTTGCAAAGTGGAGTATTAGGTTCAACAAATGAATGGCTCTCAAGAATTTATACTGTGCTCAGTGTACAAGTTGTTACAGTTGAGACTCAGTTGCTGCTCAGTTCTTACACCTTAACTTTAAGTGGCACATCCTTGTACCATATTACTTAAATTGTTACAGAAAAGACATTATAGGAAATTAAGAAACTCTGGAATAGGCTGATTTGAATTCTTGGTGTAAAACTTCAGAAACTTCACATTACTAGTTAAGCTTTGATTTCTTGTTTTAGATTCATGAAGAAATTATCCTGGGGTGGCTGTGTACAGGGAGTCTCTTAACAATGGAAAGTGCCTGTTTAGAGATGGATAATTGAACCGCTTGTTAAACACTTTACCTCTGCCATTTTAGTTTCTGCACAGATGCTGAGTGTCAGCCCTCCCTCCCCCTGTGCTTTAGTCAGATCATTTGGCAGGAGTGGAATCTTGTATGTTTCTGATTTCCTTGCATGTGTAACCTATTGCTGTGCCCACTTGGTTTCTGATACTCAATTGGACCTTGAATCATTAAGTGTAAATACAACTTTTGATCTGTAATGCTTTTATACAAAGGTTTTTGTTTTAATAATAAAACACTTTGTTCTAATTTGTGTGCTTTTTTTTTCTTAAATACTCAGTTTTGCAGGGTGTGGTGGTGCATGCTTTTAACCTCGGCACTCAGGAGGCAGAGGCAGGTGGATCTCTGAGTTTGGGGCCAACCAGGGCTACATAGTGAGACCTTGTCTCAAAATAAATAAATAAGATAAATAAATCACTTTTTTCCTTGAATTTGAAAGGGCATTCCTGCCTCTTCTAGGAGTTTCTGTTTTGGCTTAAGTTCCAGCCAGCTCTTTTGAACACTCATTTGATGACATGACCTCTGGCTATAAGCAGACTGTAGGCTAAGACAGCATGTCACTGGATGGAACACAAGTGCTTGTGAAGTTGTATATTGTTTTCCTTCATTGTTTGCAGATCCAAGAACTGACAGATTTTGCAATACTTGGCTGCTTTTATCAATTCTTCAAATATTTATTAAATGCGTGTTATGCCTTGAGGTTTCAAGACAGAACTAGAAAATGAAAGGGAAAGAATTCCAAGAGCTGGGCGTGGTGGTACATATCTGTGATCCCAATTCTCTGGAGGCAGAGGCTGGAGGACTGCAAGCTTGAGGCCATTTTGGGTTACTGAGCAAGATCCTGTCTCAAAAAAAAAAACTCTTTAAAAATAGAACAACTTTATGTGTTTGTGTTAGTGTATACTGCAGGTGCCCTGGGAAGCCAGAAAAGGACATCAGAGTCCCTTGGAACTAGAGTTAAAAGACAGTTCAGCTCACAACTGCCTGACATGGGTGCTGAGACTCAAACTCTGGTCCTCTCCAAGAGTAGCAAGTGTTCTGCTGGGCCATCTTTTCAGTCCCTCAAAAAAGCTCTTATAACCCAATTTCTGACCAGGATTGGCTAATTACAATCCATAGGTCAGAGCCTACTGCGTATGGTATGAGCCACCAACCTAAAATATGTAAAACTTAGCACTTAATAGAAAAAGCTTGCTGTGCTGGATAGTCAGTTGTTGACTTGACACACCCGGGTCAAGGGACCTTAACTGGAGAATTAACTTTATTGGTCTGTGAGGCATTTTCTTGATTGTTGAATGATGTGGGGGCCCCCCAGCCCATTGGGCGGTGCCACTCTTGGGCATATGGTCCTGGGTTTTATAAGACACAGGCCAGAGGAGCAAGCCAGTAAGCAGTGTTTCTCTGTGGTCTGTATTTAACAGTTCCTGTCTCCAGGTTCGGACCCTCGCTCCCCTCCATGATGAACTGTAAGTTCTAGGGCAAAATTAACCCCTTTCCTCCCCAAGTAGTTTTTGGTCAGAGTGTTCTTCCACAGCTGTAGAAAGCAAACTAGGACACTTTCTGTGTTTTAAACCACACTTAGCTGGGAAGTCATGACTTAAGGTCATATGGGGAGAATCAAGCTGAACATTTTCTACTTGGTGTACATTCTGTATGAATCCAAAAGAAATCCATTGTTTTTTAAAAATAAAGTTTTGGGGAGAATCTTAAGAAACCAAATTCAACCCTGTTAAGTGTGTAACTGGGGAGCTTAAATGTTAAGAGTTTCTTATAAATTGATGCTTATTGGAAATTTGTGACTGGTAATGAACTTGGAGACTTCTTTGGGTAACTTTAAAAACTTTTTCGGGGACTTATTTTTAGTTTATGTGTATGAGGGTTTCTTGTGCGTGTATGTAGGCCAATGGGTATATAGCATATAGTTTTTGCATGTACGGGAATGTATACAATGCCTGTGGAGGCCAGAAGTTGTTGAATCCTCTGGAACCAGAGTTACAGATGGTTATCAGCCATCATGTGGGTGCTGGGAACTGAACCCAGGTTCTTTGCAAGAACAGCCTGTGCTTTTAACTGTTGATCCATCGCTCCAGCCCCTATTTGGATAACTTTAGATGTTTTGATAGGGGTTTCCTTTAAAATATATAGCTGTAACAGTTGTGACACCTTATCCTTAAAGAGGAACTATGGTAGAAAACTAAAAATAATGTTCTTAGTGGAGAATGAAGAGAGGGAGCCATTCCCCTGTTCTCATTATCAGGCAATTTCCATCATAGATGAGCCTTTTTGTTTGTTTTGTTTTGAGATGGGGGTCTTAGTATGTTGCCCAGGCTGGTCCTAAACTCCAGGAAAGGACTTTTTTAACTTCCATTTTCTTTAAACTGAGCTTGCCTTACTTAGCAGGAACAAGAAAGACTAGGATGATTAGTTTCTAGGAGAGGAAGGCTGAGTACTGTGTCAAACTTGGCAGAGAAGCTGCTGCGAGGAGGAGGAGGAGGGACTGCAGTGGAGGTGAAGGCTGGGTAGTAGGCTCAGGAAAATTAGGGCATGGCTTGGGGAAACCGGAAGTTGTAGCTGGAGAGGACTTGGTAACCTGTAAAGTGATTGGGGAAGGAGAAAAGGTGAAGGGCAACAACTAGAAACTAGCTATGAGATGATGAGGAACGTGGAAAGAGGCAATAGGGAGCTGGGAAGGTATTAAGGAATGTAGAGAAACTGACAGGTTTTAGGGACAGGCTTTTATTCATGAAAGACATTGGAAAGAAAGCAAGGAACAACAGATGAAAGGAAAAGCCATTAGCATTCTGCTTTTCATTCTCCTTGGCATATTTTGGGTTTTGTAGTATTGGGGTATTTGGGGTTGAACCCAGGACATGCTAGGCCATGGTCTCAACCCGCTTTGCATGGTAGCAAGTATGCATTGATGTTTGTTCAATATGGTCCAGAGAATAATTTAGGATAGCCTTACTTCTGGCTTTGAATGAGTGAGTTTATTAAGTATATAGCAAACATAAGTAAAGATCAGTTAGCAGACAGATAGGAATACAGATAGCAAAACATCAAATCAAGCAGAGACACTGGAGAAACCTGACTGATAGCAAACAGGTAACCTCACCCAATACAGGTCTTGAAACATCCAGCAGAAATTGATTGGGGCAGTTGAGGTTATCAGCTGGCGTTACCAATGGAGCCTTCCCTCCATGAATTCGAGATTATGGAACTTGGCTCCTGTTCTCATTGCAAGCATTTTTATGCCTTGGGATGAACAATAGTCACATTGCTGAACATTAGTCACATTGCTGAAGACCTAGCTCTTCTTAGGACACACTTTATTTATTTATTTATTTATTTATTTATTTATTTATTTATTTATTTATTTATTTATTTAGGTAGTTAGTTAGTTAGTTATAGTTAAAGGTATGAATGTTTTTCCTGAGTGTATGTGTGTATGTATGTGCACCAGATGTATGTAAGTACTCTTAACTGCTGAGTCCTCTCTCCAGCCCCTGGACACAATGTTTTTAATACCCTTTGCTGATTGCTCTTTTCCCTTTTACTCATTGCAGAGCCAGGGGGCCAGCCTGACCCAAGGCAGTGGCTTTGGAAGACATCTGACATAAACATGATTGTGTTTGAAACAAGGGAAGGCCTCTTTGCTCCCTGTTTCCACTTTCAATAGGCTTAAACAGCACATGATAATTTGCTAATAAAATATACAGTACAATGCTATGTGTGTAACTCCTGCACTGAGGTTTGGCTCCAGTGGTTGATAGCCTTTTGTCTTTCGCAAAGATGTTTCAGGTTCACCTGGACTTCCTGTCTCAGACCTGGAATTACCAATTTCTCCAGAATTCTTTGTTTCTAAAACCTATTCCTATTATTCAGCCCTGTACTCCTGTGTATATGTGTGATGGTTAGTTTTAATTGTCAAGCTGACACACAGTATAGACTCTTCTGAGAACAGAGGCACAATGAACAATTGTCTAGGTTAGGTTGGCCTGTGGACATGTCATGGGTGGTTGCTTTGATTACATTAGTTGATGTGGGAAGACCCAAGCCTAAAAGTGGGTGGCATTACTCCCTGGTTTGGGTCCTGGGCTGGATAAACAACTGAGCTGAGTGCAAGCAAGCATGGATTCACTTTCTCTGCTCTTGACTGGATGTGACTAGCTGCTTCAAGTTTCTGCCACCTTGACTTCCCCACAACGATGAACTGTGACCTGGAACTGTGAGCTGAATGAACCCTCCTTCCTCAAAGTTGCTCTTGCCAGGCTGTTTTAACACAGCAATGGATAATGAAATCAGGACAATATGCATATATAAATATTCATGTATCTACTTCGGTATTAGTTCTTAAATAATAACTAATATTGCTGCATATGTGGTTTCAGAATAATAATTCAATTGCTAAGAAATGAATGTTTTTACTGAAAAAGTTTAAAAATTTTTATTTGGTTCTTGGATACAGTAAGTTAACTTACCAACTTACTGTGTTTGTTTTGTTTGCTTTGCTTTTTGTTAGCCCGGGTTGATCTTCAATTCTTGATCTTTCAGCCTCTCCCTGGGGTTAC